TTTGAATAAAAGGATATAACGGCAAAATTGTCAAATTAAACTTATTAAGCATTAAGTTATAAATATTTATCAAACAGTATAAATAGATTTAGCATTAAAATTCAGACATTCATATATTTTTTTCAGTGCTTAAAATTCAACAAATTAATTGTTTCAGTATTCAGATTTCAGAATTCAGACTTCAGAATTTAGATTTAGTTTTATCAAACGGAACCAAAATGTTAAGGAAATGTTTGCTTAGTTGAATTTTGATTTTAATACACAGACATATTATATGTGTCCTAGGGATGAAGGCTCACTCCATATTTATGGAACCATTTTTCTTAAAAAATTAATCTTATATACACTGTCAGTATATACACAATCACCATTAGATATAGGATACAAGTGCAAAATTTGAATTTAAAATTCAAAATTTACTCATATGTTATCCATCCAACCATAATAGTATATACACTGACAGTTTATATAAAATTTGCTCTTTCTTAAATATGATAGAATCAATTAACTTTTAGATTAATTTTTTCTATACTGACTGTATATATACAGTCAACATTGGATGAATAACAAATATGCAAAATTTAAATTTAAAATTCAACTTGTTCTTAACTTTTATTGTAAAGGTATAAAATATAAATCACAAAATGAGACAAGAATGAACAGCAAATCCCTACTCTGAATTTATATTAAAATTTGAAGTAGTCTTCTTTTAAACTTCGTGCCCAGCAAGGACCTTGGGTCCTTTATTTAACTTTTTTTTCCTTGTTCTTTTCGTGTGGTTCTAGGGAGGGATAAAGGCCCCTTAACATGGGATATGCCGTGCCTGTAGCTTTCTCCTGACAGATTAGATGGATAGATCGCCAACTTGCGATTGACTTTTAAAAGCTTGGGGGCTAAGATAAAATGACGTATTTGAATACTCAAAAGAGGTTCCTTCAACCAAAAAAAAAAAAAACTTAAAAGGGACATTGTTAACTTACGTGATCGTTTGAAAAGATAATGCAAAGTCAAAACTAATCACTTTAAATAATGTATTAATCTTATAGGGCTGCAAACGAATCAAGCCGCTCGCGAGCAGATTAATCTTATAGGGCTGCAAACGAATTGAACCGCTCGCGAGCTGCTAGCGAGTGGCTCGAGTCAAGCTCGAGTCGAGCTCAAGCCGGCTCAAGTCAAACTCGAGCTCGAACTCAAATTCAGAATATTAATCTCGTTAGCTCGCGAGCCTACTCGCGAGTTTGAGTATCTATATATATATATATTTTTTATTTTTATTTAATAATAAAATTACGTATATTATATATATATTTTTTATTTTTTATTTTCATAATAAAATTACGTATATATTCTTAATATTTTATTATTTATTAAGAAAAAAAATATTATTTTATTTATTTTTTAAAAATAAAATAATTATTTTTTTATTTTTTTCGAGCTCGAGCTCGACTCGACTTGATTCGAGTAGAGCTCGAGCTTGAAAATTGCTGGCTCGTCGAGCTCGAGCTTGGTAAAATTTAGTCGAAACTCGGCTCGATTAGCTCAAAACTCGACTCGATTCGGCTCGTTTGCAGCCCTATAATCTTATATATACTATACACTATTACGGTTGTATGAATCATACGAGAAAATTTTGAATTTTAAATTCAAATTTTACATATGTATCATACATCTAATGGTAATAGTATATATATTGACAATCAAATTTTGCATATGTGTTATATATCTAATGGTGATAGTATATATACTGACGGTCAAATTCAAAATTTTCTCATGTCATCTATCTAATCGTGATAGTGCATACGTTGATAATCTATATAAAATTTACTCTTAAATAAAAGTTTATTCTTTTTATTTGGTACCACTAGACTTTTCTTTCTTAATGAAATGATAATTTCCATGACTCAGTCTATTTTGTTGAATCTTTTTGGCTTTCTTTCTTTTGCATATGGGCTTATTTGAGTAAAGTAGGGCTTTTAATGGATTGGATATGAGTTGGTATTTGCTCTAAATTTTTTTGTCTATGTATAGATTTTCTTGAATGGATATGACGCCAATCCAATTAAGAAATTCGGTAAACAAAACAAATGTGGATTATTTGTCCTAACCCATTTTAAACCCGAATCCAAATTAGTATATATATATATATATATATAAAATAATTAGTGCATTGCCGAGTGCATGGATAGATTTTATTTTTTTATGTATTCGTTAGCTGTCAGCCTGTTAAATACATGGATAAATGAAGATTGAAATATCAACAATGTTCTTACATATTCAGTCATATAAATTTGGTAAAATTATTGTATTGTAAATCTCCTAACCCTATAACAGCTTTAAAAACCTTTTATACTTGAACAAATTCTAATGTGATACGACCCATAAAATATATCAATGTATGCCAAAAAAAATATTGTTTGAGAAAGTGATTAAAGTATTATAGTGATTATCGACCTTAATCTACGTATTTGTTTCTAAACTATGTATTTGTTTTTGATTGCCAAGGAACCGTTGTCTACGGTTGAGAGTAAGACTTTTTTAGTTCAAATTCTCCTTTCCGCTTCTAGATCCCAGTCCTCTTGCTATAAAAAAAAAAACACTTAAACTACTTGAGGAAGCCTTAGGCCTTATTTGGATTGTTAGTTTTCGTAGAAAAAATTTTATATTTTCCATGAATACATTTACCAATTACCTTTTTATTTTACATACATTAAATCATTACAATATATTTTTTTACAAAAACTTCTAAAAATAACAATCCAAACAGGATTTTAGTCTACTGGCTAATGTTGAGATATCAGGATTTAGATATCTTGTGTTCAAATCTCCAATTTCCCTCCCCATTTCTTAAATTTCAATCTTTCCTAGCTAAAATTTCTTTTAAAAATGTATTTTTTTTCAATTAAATACAAAAGATGCAACAATCCATCTTCTCATGAACAAATATTCAGTTTCTAGCAAAATCATTAAATTTACTGATGTAATAACTAAAGTGACACTAAACAAAGTATGGATAAAAAAGAAGAAGATAAAATTAGAAACATCCCTAAGATTTTTAACAATTTTAGTAAATGCCCCTCTAATTCTAAATATTACTTTTTTCCCTTACTATTATAGTTTTTGCTACACAGTAGACCAAATCGGACTTTTTTTTTCAAATGATAAAATTCCGTACACAGAGGAGGGATACCAACTCTTAATTTTATGTCCTCGTTTACCTGAACATATCTTTTGTTAATTAGGAAACATTGACTGAATTTATAACATTTGAGATACACTGGAAGAACCTGGACTCTTGATGCACTTCGGTTGCAGGGAAGGAGCAATTGCTAATTTTCAGGCTAACAAGCATGCAAAGAACGAAAATTAAGGGTATAAATAACATATTAGGTGGAAAGGGAGATAACAAGAATATAGAAGACATTGTTAGAAGCTGAATAGATTCAGGAAGAGATAGAGATTAAACGACATATGTAAGAATGTTCACTTTGCAAAGAAAGAGAACTAGGAATTAGTTTAGACATGGATGACTCCTAAACAACATTTTTGTACATATGGACATTCTATTGCACGTATAAATACGTGCTTATTACTGAAAAGGTTATGTGATTGTGCTTTTATTTGTTGTTGCTGTTTTATGTTCCAACTTTATTGGAAAATTTATGTGATTTGATATTACTGTAAAACAAAAACTAATAACAGCTGCTTCCCCTCATGATCCCCTTTAAGTACCCCACCTTGAAAATAGGTAGAGGACAATGAAGAGACTGATGGACATAGCAATGAAAAGTAGTGGAAGAACAACCACAGAAAATGAATTACGTAAAGAAGCATTTGCTGTCTGCTTGATTTCTAGAACTCACCTACTGTAATTCTGTTCTTGTTCCTCTTTAAAGAAAGCTTGTTCTGTCTGCAGGATTATAGTTGTCCTGTTCTTCATTAAACTCTATTTCCAGATGACGTACCTTAAATTTTGGCAATAATGCAAAACTCTTGCTTGCTGAATGAAGACTAATGAAATCATGGCAGTTTGATATTTCATAGATAAATTTTTCTAATTTGATGTCATTTATCCTGATAGTTAGTCAACAATGCGGGTAACTCACTACATCCATCAATTGTCTTTAAACACCTGAGTCCTCTTTGATTACGCATGATCTTCTCTACTTGTATCCTTTATAATTTGATTTTCTTTGGTGCCACTTTCTAGATAACATGAAATTATTGATTGAAGGTGATCCTTCCAATGCGGAAGAACAATTCTCAGCATCTCCTCAAGTGATTAATCTTGAATTATTGGATACATTTCAGGGCTTATCTCCTATATGAGGCTTGCATGTCTCTCATGTTATTAGCCTAAAATTAGCATCAAAACAACGAGTTCAGGTGTTAACTCCTACATGGAGCCTGACTATAATTAAGTAGAAGTTCTGAGTTGCATAATATCATAGACATCTAGTTGCAGATGATGTGCTATGTGTGCCATGATTGCATCTTGTCTTCCTTTTCCCTGGAAAAATCTTATTTTGGAATGTCAACTTATGAAAGTTCTGCCTCACTTATTCAATAGACTATCATTCCTTCTCAAGTGAAAGTTAAATTAATTCCACTTACAACTGATAGGATTTTTAATGATTCTCCCTGGCTTATCCAATACGCATACCTTCCTTCTCGAGTCAGTTAAATTAATTCCACTTAACTCTGATCTGTTTACTTTGAGCATCTGTGTACATTTATTAATATAAAGATTGTTTTCTGCACTTTTTTTTGCGGCTCTTGCTTAATGTTGTGAAGACGGCTCTTCAAATGGAAAGAATTCTCTTCAAGGAAATTGTCAGGAGTATGAATGGTCAGCTGCAACCAAGGAGGAAAATAGTTCCTTAAACTCTTCACACATAGATATTGCCTCTTCTTCAGGGGGTGAGGTTAAACTTTTTATAACCTACGAATCTTCCCTTCCATCAAACTTTTGTGCTCCTAGTTTAGATTCAGTCTTGAGAAGGATGGAGGAAAAGCTTGTTAAATCATACAGAATCACCCAACCTGGTTTCTCTATGATGAATCTGATGAAAGATATATGTGAGGGCTTCTTAGAAGTGGGGACCAATACCATTCATGATGACATAGTAAGTTGTGCTGATGCACATTCCAGTCCTGTTGCACCTAAAGAATGGGAAACTCATGATGTTTTAAATAGGAATGTCAAACATCAAGTTGGTTTTTGTGTTGTTAATGGGGCCTGTACAACTTCCGAGCCTTATTGGTAGCCAATTCCAGATCCCAAAGTTTCATAGTTTGATGCATTTGGACTTAAGTTAACCAATAGTGAAAGGAGTAAAAACAACCTCGCACTTGATGATCTAAAATCTTCAACTTCAAGGAGTACGGTAATAGTTCAGAAGCAACATTTTCCTCATGACATACTGAGTTCCACTTATTATATTGATGACATTACAAGAGGGGAGGAGGATCTGGAGATTTCCTTGATAAATGACCTTAACAATGGGCAGCACCCCATGTTTAAGTATATCCCCAGGAACATAACATATCATAGAGCACATGCGAAAGTTGCTTTTTCTAGTATATCAGATGACAACTGTTGTTCCAATTGCTTCGGAGATTGTTTGTCTTCAGAAATACGTTGTGCTTGTGCTGATAATACTGGTGGTAAATTTGCTTACCTGCCAGGGGGTATTGTTAAAGAAGAGTTTCTTGAAGACTTTATTTTGATGAATTGCAGTCCCCACCAGAAAAATCTTTGCTACTGCGAAGAGTGTCCACTAGAGAGGTCCAAGGATAGTTGCTTGTCTGGCACATGCAATGGCAATGGCCATCTGGTCAGGAAGTTTATAAAAGAGTGCTGGTACAAATGTGGTTGTGCCCAGGGTTGTGGGAATCGTATTGTGCTGCGGCGCGTGCACAGATTGCAGGTGAGACCATGTTGTTTCAAACACCTCTTGTTTTGGTTCTGTAAATGTGATATGAAACTTGTGCTATTGCTCGTGCATTTTGCTCAATTTGATCTGATAATGCATTTCTTTTTGATTAAGATTGTTCAACCCATGTTCAGGTTTTTATGACACCTGAAGGAAAGGGATGGGGCCTTAGAACCCTTGAAGACTTGCCTAAAGGTGCCTTTGTCTGTGAGTACGTGGGAGAAATATTGACCCACATGGAACTATCTGAAAGAAATTCGCTGAACACTGGAAAGAAAAATACATACTCTGTGCTACTAGACGCGGGCTGGTCTACTAAGCGTGTCCTCAAGGATGAAGAAACTCTTTGTTTGGATGCAACCTTTTATGGAAATGTTGCTAGATTTATCAATCACAGGTATCCTTTATCAAGGGTTGAAGTATTTGTGCCAATGTTTCTTGTGTAATAACTGCCTCTGTGAAAGATCTTTATCTTTGTTTTGACTTCGAGTACATTTAGTGTTTACTGGTTTTAGTCGAATTACCTTTTCTTCCTTTGTATGCTCCTTTGCCTTGCATGTGTATGAAAAGTTCTTAATGCGAAAGATGGAATAATTTGAATAGGTCCATATTTAATTTCAAATTTTATGTCGATATTTGATGGCTATAGGTTGTAATGCTAAATAGAAAAGATAAGAATTATGTGAGTGTTTAGTTTTAGCAGGACTGGAGAGCAAATTTTTGTTATACTTCTGTCTGGTAAGCTCTATCGGCTTTAATTTAATGCTCTGATTGAGTCATAGAGGATACATTATTGCTTTCTTACAGTCGCTTACATTGGCTGGGCGAAGCAGTTCTCACAAACTTGTTTCTTTCTCTTGTTTAGTTGTGACAATGCCAACTTGGTTGGGATTCCAGTTGAAGTGGAGACTCCAGGTCATCATTATTACCATGTATGGTTCTATAGTAGCTTTGATTTTAAAGCGTGTTCCTTTTGTTTCCATGGCCAAAGATGGTAATTTCATGCGATTAACATGCAGAATTTACTTATTATCCTAAAATCTGCAGCTTGCTTTTTTCACATCAAGGAAAGTTGATGCTTTAGAGGAGTTGACTCGGGTAGGTATGCCCTTTACTTTGTACATTTTTCATAATGCAGACTCTGAATCTGTTTTGTTAACAATTGCAAAGCACTTGTCATTTATAATGCACAAATGATATGTCCAAAATGATAATCATCCCTGATGCCATTTTCTGTTGTTCCTGTTAACAATCCCTGTTAAATTGAGTGTTCTATTGAAATATTTCATCAAATTTCCCGGAATCAATCAAGAATATAGTTGCACTTGAGTTTTAGGCCAGGAAGGCTCATTAACAGTAATATTGATGCAGGACTATGGCATTGACTTCAGTGATCATACTCACCTGGTGAACGCTTTCAGATGTTGCTGTGGTAGTCAATTTTGCCGAGACAAGAAAGCTTAAAAATGTATGTATACCTTCTCATTTCTTGTTATTCTTTTATTCATAGCAACCCTCTACAGTTGGTTGCCACATAATTATTCTTCTCTTAGCGGTATAATATACAAAGGAGTTGTCAGGATATGGATGCCCTGAGTTACCTTTCACATCATTAGAGCAGGAGTTACGTAGTGCCAAATATTCTGATTTCTTTTGAAAGAAATTTTAAATGTTGTCTCTGTGTCCTTTGGCAGTGTGAAGATAACTTGATGATAGTGTCTTTGTTGTTAAATAGTACGAAAAATTTTGGTCACAGCATCAGATAAAAATTGTAGGAAGTGATTGTCACCTTCGAGCTGGTGCATTAGTGCATCTGCTTTGTATGTATTATAACATTCATTAAATCACAATCTACCCATATTTTGGGTAAGCAGCAAACTTTACCCTGTTGGTGTTGTTAGTTTTAAATTTACTGCACAATATTATTGTTACTATTGTAACGTGGCTTTGTTCACTTTACAAGTTTACAGCTTAAAAAAGTTGTTTGCGTTGTAATGCTTTAATTGTTATGCAGGTGGAGCTTTCATGTGTGGATTATGGTTGTTGTTGATCATTTATATATAGAGTGAATACTAGGTGGTAATACCGTGCTTTGTGCGGTGGTATACATGCCCAGTTAATGTTTAGCTAGTAATATTCGTGAGAATGAAGATTAGCAGTAGAAAATAGAGATATATTACACAGGAATAAAAGCGAAAAGCAGTTGTACTGGAAAAAAGGTGTAATTATATAGGCATTGTAAAAATGTAAAGCAAGCAAGTTTAGTTTTTATCTTGAATGGTTAGGCTGTGAAAGTTCAGTTGATTAACGCCTAATAGATCATCTAAAAAGTATGAAGTTACAATGTTGAATGCAGGTGCTTGAGACAGCCTAATTGATGGAGGAGGAGGTTGAATGCAACAAATAATTGTTCTTCCTTGTAATTTTTGTGCAACGAGGCTGATAATGTTCATATTCTGTTTGACAGTCGAAGAAGAAAGAATAATGATAACGGTTAGAATGGAAAAGGAGGGGAAAAAATTGTTTGCGTGAATAAAGGGAATAAAAAATTACTTGGTGGTGTGCATGATAAAGTTCAGCAGTTGAATATCCAAGCAATTTTTCAGCTTCAATATCCATGGCTGTTGCATACAGCGAACCAGTTGCATTAGAAAGAGAAATTGGTTGGATCATGAGTTTGAGCATTTAAAAATAGTGCAAGAGTCTGTAAAAACCTGGGCAAAAGTTGAACAGGGTGTTCACAATGCCGGCAGAATGTTCGTATTGCATGCGTGGAATAATGAGGCTCTTCACAATGAGGACATGTCATACGGTACATTTTATAATCTGTGAAGTCTATTTCAGCAGAGCCTCTAATCCATACTGTGCCAAGTTCCTATTAAGCAGATATAGGAACGGTGTATAATATAGTTATTGTTGAATGAAATGCGGGCACAATAGCATCGAATAAAAGAGGAGTGTGAGTTCTCGCAATTTGTTTTGCAGCAGTAATATCCAGGATTTGATTATCATTGGGAGGGGGAAGAAGGAGGTTGGGATCAATATAACATGTGTTGGTTAGCAGCTGCGTCGATCGGGTGGAATTAGCAGAAAAACTGATGAATATATAGAAAAATTATGTAGTGATTTCAATAGTAAAAGCAGATAATAGAAAGCTGCAATTGGAACCAGTCATGTAGGTCTACGGCCTCTTGAATGTCTGGATTTATGAGGATGACAGATGATGGCTGAGTTGACAAGGAAAGATCTGGTGGCATGCCAAAAAATATTGTCATGTGAAATGAAAGGGTATAAAAATATTTAGGAAACAGAAGAATATGCTTGCTTACAATTTTTTGTTGTCACCTTGATCCTAATAGCAATAAGAATCGGAAAGGCTTCATGTTGGAAAGCAATAATAGGTCCGTGGGTCTCTTCAATTTGATCGCAGAGAGTGAGAAGTAATGGATGGAGACTGTATAAGTATAAGAAAAGGGAATCATAACTAGTAATGTATACCACGGTTGAAAGGAATTATGGAAATGTGGGGGAAAAAATGGGTTGTAACCTTTGATCGGCAATTACATAATCTCTACTGATGATTAGTTTTCCTCGCATAGTTGTTGCTCTTTTAGGCAAGATATGTAGTACCTTTCCCATGATATCTGTAGCAGTTGCATGTAAGAAAGAGTCTAAAATAGTGGATAAAACAAGGGTTAAACTGTGTGGGCAAAAATTAATTAAATAAAAGGGAAGTGATCCGTGTACCTATCAAATTACTTGTATTAGCAATTGTGTCCAGCATGGCAAAGGGGTGCAAGTTGAAAGAAACTGGAAGAGAAGGGCGCTGTAGTTCTTGCAATTTGTGAATGCGTGTCTTGGTGGCGGCAACCCAATAGTATGGGTAATCTCCGGGAGGGATATCAGCAAGGAATGGGCGAACAATTGCGTTTGAAACGTAGTATGTTTTAAAAGGTAAAAGCAGGCTGGCAAATTGATCTAGATAGTCGGCAGGTACATGCATATTGACTCTAAGTCCCTGTATTTTAGCATTGTTAGCTATAGGTAAAAGGTAAATGAAGGAGAAAACAATAATCTGAAAAAGAAAAACCGTCAAACCTGTGGATCAGCAAGTGCATATTGTTGATAATGAGTCTGAGGTCCACTGAAACGCATGACATGCGTTTTTTCAATAACCTGGACAATTGTTGTCCAATTTTGCAAACTTGGATCAATGGTTGAGAGTGGAACGATAGTATTTTTCATGACAGGAAAACCTGCAGTAAGATGGTGTTATGAATTTGAGCAGGTGTTAAAATTCGAAATATTTTTGAAGTTATGAATATTTAGAATTAGAAAATCCATTTTCTTGACAGCTGACAATAAGAATACAAAAGTTTTGTGCTTGCAAAGAAAAACAGGCAATTTTTCAAATGACATAAGGAGGCTATTAAACTGGAGCTTGATACGGAGAACAAATAGGCGGAAGGTATGGAGTACAAAGGCACACGCAGCTGTATACTAAAGAAGATAAGTGTGATAGGAGAAAACAGGAGGTAAAACGAGCGAGTTTTAAATAGGCTATAAAAATAAAGCAAATATAAATAGATGATATAAGAAGAGTCACGGGAAAAGCTCTGCAATAGCAAATTGAGGGGAAGCAGCGTATAGAATTAGTAGGGAAGATGTAAGGGAAAATATGTATAGGGATCTTTTTTTTTTTTGTTTAAGTTGGATTAGTGAATTGAGCAGAGAATTATCAGCCTATGTGATCACCATTTAGATTGTTCTGGTAAGGACATGGAAGAAGGTAACATTGAACGGAAAAAATGAAGAGATAAAAGAGGGGAAAGGAGTTTACCTTGAAAGGAAGGCCAGTACAGTGGTAGGGAGAAAGTCGGAGCTGGAGTTGTTGTGTCTGTAAAAAGCAGCCTTAGAGAGTTGGGAAGAGAAGAAATTTGTGAATTGGGTTCTAAAGTGATTGACAGAGATGTAACATGCTATAGAAGACAGCTAACGTAGAGTGTGTGGTGTTAGGCTTTACAAAGCGATTCATATAGTTACATGTGTGTATATTAGCAATCGATAAAGAATAAGCCAGTGGTGTCTGAAAATTCTTGAGCGCATACACGTGAAAGCTGAAATTGCATAGCAGGGGTGTGAGGATCCGTAATTTTCCTAATTGCTAGGTTTTATTTTCTTTGAATTGCACGTTTTTCCACATTTTCTTTATTCGAAAAATTTTAAAACATAATTTTTATTAGTAAATATAGTTTTTAAATGATTTTTCTAGTATCGGTTAGTTTTTGAGAAATTAAGAGCGTATACCGGACGTGGGACCCGTTAGTGCGGAAAATTCGATAAAATTCGGCCAATTAGGTTAAGTTGTGTATACCGAGTTTAATTTATCAGATGTTAAGAGATAATTAGAAGTTACCTAAATGGATTATCATTGGAGAGACAAAAGAATAGAGATGTATTAATTAGAGTGACAAGTGTCACCATATGATTAATTCTTACTTTTGACTACTATTTACCCTTTTACTATTTGTTTAAAATAACTCAAAAATTGCCCAAAAATCACTCAAAATTGAGAGCTTTTTGGCCGGCCCTTTCTCTAGAGAAAAGAAGAAAAACCTCTTCAATTTCCTACTTCTAATCTTGCTCAAATTCAACTAATCAACCATTTGATCTTACATTTGTTCCATAAAACCTCTTCACTTAGTGTTTGTGAGGTGTTTGGTGAAGTTGTTTGGAAAGCTAAGGTGGCTAGTTGCTCTCTCTCTTGTGTTGCTAAGGTGAGTTGTGAAGGAACCCCTCTCCTCTACCTAATGATGTTTAATCCATGATTTGTGGTAGTCTAAGAGGTAATTTTGTGGATTATATCTTGATTTTTGGTTGAATTGGTGAAGTTTTATAATTATTGGGGATTTTTCTGTTTTCATATGATTATTATTATGTGGGCATGTATGATGATTGGAAATGATATTTAAGAAAGTTAGAAGGTGGGAAAAGTGGTTAATTGCACGAAATTTCTGTTTTGGAAGAAAATTGGAAAAATTAGGGTTTCATTGTCTTACATTCTGCCCGGCACTGTACGTCATAGTTAGAGGCCGAATTGGCCTTGGGGTAAAACATGAAAGTTGTAGGGAATGATATTTTAGAGATGTCTGCAAAATTTCAGGCCAATCGGAATAGCGTAGCTTGTGAAATGATCGAAATACCCCTGCTGCCCTGTTTTCACCCGAACTTGAGAATTGCTTATGTAATTGGTTATTTTGGTTGGTATTACTTCTAAATTGGTTGTTGAGGTCTTCTGAAGAAATGTAGCCTGATGTCTTAGCTTTTGAATGGCTTTGGAATCACTTGATTTGGACTTAGGTAGCCTGATTTATGATGTTTGAACCATAATGCAGTTTGTAAACATGTTTTTGCGGTTCTGGTCTAGTATCTTGCATTTTTGACCTAGTTGTGCTATGAACTGG